GACCCAGCGATTGATTTTTCTGGTCAGGGATTATATGTAAACAGCTTTCTTGGACCATCTGAGAACATGAACAGAGGTTGGTGATTTCACATAGAATATCCAATTGAAGAAAATGCTACAGTCAGTCATTTCAGTTTCTGAAATCTCTTACTTCTCCTTTGCACCAAGAATTCATCGCCAATGAATTTTTTCAGGTATTGCTGCGTTCGAGATGGAATATGCACACTGGTTAGATGAACAGAACAGGCGGGTTAGCGAGATCAGAAAAGCGCTCCAAGCTCATATAAGCGACATAGAGCTCCGTATGTTGGTGGATAGTTGCTTGAACCATTACGGAAATATCTTCCGTATGAAAACCGATGCTGCAAAGGTTGATGTCTTTTACTTGATATCGGGAATGTGGAGAACGTCAATGGAACGGTTCTTGCAATGGATTGGAGGCTTCCGCCCGTCTGAGCTATTAAACGTAATCTTCATATTCACTCAAGGCATTCTTCCACCATTATCTTCCAGTCTTCAAGAAAAGGCACTTCAATGGTGTAAAATGCCCATTTCTTCTGAACAGGTCGTAATGCCTTACCTCGAGCCCTTAACCGATCAGCAAATCTTGGAGGTGCGTAGCTTACGACAATCGTGTCAGCAAGCGGAGGACGCTCTCTCAGGGCATAGATAAACTTCAGCAGAGTTTGGCTGAAACCCTAGTTCTTGAACCTGTTGATCCCGCTAATCACGGTGCTCAAATGGCTGCAGCACTGGAAACCCTTCAAGCTTTAGGAGGTTTCGTGAATCAGGTAAACCCTAAAAAGCATCATATTCTTCGCATCCTTACAGTTCGAAAGCATCATATTCTTCGCATCCTTACAGTTCATATCACATTTTCATATGACTCTTCTCTGTATATATATCTCTCTTCTCTCACTGTCTTGAAGAGTATCCATCTCTTCATGTTTCATCCATCGAAGCTTATAGGCATTAAACTGAGGTACAGAACTTGAGAAACGTGAAGATAAAAACAAGAAAGCTCGTCTCTTTATATGTCATGAATAAGCGATCAAAACTCTAATGGGACAGGCTGATCATCTGAGGGAGCAAACCCTTGAGCAAATGGAGAAGACGATGACGACCAGACAAGCAGCTCGCGGTCTTGTCGCTTTGGGCGACCACTTTTATAGGCTTCGTGCACTCAGCTCTCTCTGGGCAGCTCCTCGTTCACGGCAACCCACTTGAAGACGAAGTGTTTTTGTAGAAGAAAATTGTCTTGTGAATTTATTTATTTTCTTACTGAAAAGTAATATTTTTATTTTAAAAAAATTATGGGTTTATTGGATTCAGGTGGGAGTGAGACCAATCATCACTCTCTCTTGTCTTTACGGTCATAATATGAAACGAGTCTTATTGGGAAGCTACCTAAGCTAGCTGTACTTCATCTTTCTCCGTACCCCTCATTTACGTCTTCTCCATTTGCTCAAGGGTTTGCTCCCTCAGATGATCAGCCTGTCCCATTAGAGTTTTGATCGCTTATTCATGACATATAAAGAGACGAGCTTTCTTGTTTTTATCTTCACGTTTCTCAAGTTCTGTACCTCAGTTTAATGCCTATAAGCTTCGATGGATGAAACATGAAGAGATGGATACTCTTCAAGACAGTGAGAGAAGAGAGATATATATACAGAGAAGAGTCATATGAAAATGTGATATGAACTGTAAGGATGCGAAGAATATGATGCTTTCGAACTGTAAGGATGCGAAGAATATGATGCTTTTTAGGGTTTACCTGATTCACGAAACCTCCTAAAGCTTGAAGGGTTTCCAGTGCTGCAGCCATTTGAGCACCGTGATTAGCGGGATCAACAGGTTCAAGAACTAGGGTTTCAGCCAAACTCTGCTGAAGTTTATCTATGCCCTGAGAGAGCGTCCTCCGCTTGCTGACACGATTGTCGTAAGCTACGCACCTCCAAGATTTGCTGATCGGTTAAGGGCTCGAGGTAAGGCATTACGACCTGTTCAGAAGAAATGGGCATTTTACACCATTGAAGTGCCTTTTCTTGAAGACTGGAAGATAATGGTGGAAGAATGCCTTGAGTGAATATGAAGATTACGTTTAATAGCTCAGACGGGCGGAAGCCTCCAATCCATTGCAAGAACCGTTCCATTGACGTTCTCCACATTCCCGATATCAAGTAAAAGACATCAGCCTTTGCAGCATCGGTTTTCATACGGAAGAGATTTCCGTAATGGTTCAAGCAACTATCCACCAACATACGGAGCTCTATGTCGCTTATATGAGCTTGGAGCGCTTTTCTGATCTCGCTAACCCGCCTGTTCTGTTCATCTAACCAGTGTGCATATTCCATCTCGAACGCAGCAATACCTGAAAAAATTCATTGGCGATGAATTCTTGGTGCAAAGGAGAAGTAAGAGATTTCAGAAACTGAAATGACTAACTGTAGCATTTTCTTCAATTGGATATTCTATGTGAAATCACCAACCTCTGTTCATGTTCCCAGATGGTCCAAGAAAGCTGTTTACATATAATCCCTGACCAGAAAAATCAATCGCTGGGTCATTATGAAACATGTAAATTACAACAAAGATAACAAGCTTCACCTCACCTGCTGTCTGGCCATCTCGAGCTCTTGTTCCAGCTGCGATAGCTTCAACCGGCTTCGCGCCGCCGCAGACTTCTCCTCCTTTCTCCGGCACGGCGGGGGAATATTCCGGTCCGGCTCGGCGAAAATGGGGTCGTTCTCGTCGGAGAGGACATCGAAGCAGCTCTCGGTCCCGATGTAGTCTCCGATGGCCGAGGAGGAGGAAGATGACGTCCGCGACAGCATGGATGATGCCATCCCGAGTGTTCGGTCGCTTTCATTGTGACAAACAGCGAGATGCTTGAGACCCATCTGGTCTGAATCCATGAATTCGGAGGAAAATTCTTTCTCCATGGCGTGAAATAAACAGACCGCAAATATTTTTTTTTTTCTGGTTTTTTTTCCCCTACTTCTCCCCCAATGGAGCTAGAGTTGCATGGGGAGACTTAAATAAGGAGACAGCTAATAGAAGGTGACGTCATGGGGAAGATGGGGAGATATTTTGAGAATCTGAGACATTTAAGCTCTCGACTTAATGTTTCTGCCTGCAAATGGGCAATCAATACATGTAAACTTAGCCTCCGATTTCACGGTCGGAAATACAAATCCAAAGGGTCCTGTAGAAATTAAAATCGCATGCATACAAAATTCTAATGCAAAAGTAACAGTTACCTTATATGATAAGACAATAAAAAAATACCACCAACCCCGAAACCAATATTCATCGTTGAAAAAATTCTCTGTGAACAAATTTGGTTAAATATAATCAACACACAATAACGTAACTTGATTTAAAAAAAAAAAAAACTGATCACGAAGGATTTGTTGAGTTCGTATGTAAATCACATAACATATATATATATATGTCAAAATACTAACCAAATAAGCAAATAAAAAATTTACAATCAAACCCAAAACAGATTGAATGTATTTGCCAACACGATCACGAAATCAATCATACGATAATCAAAATGCGTAATTAAATTAATCAGATGATTTACCTGGATAATAACGATTGGGAGATTGAAGACGAACATTTCGTTATGCGTCTTCTTTGTTCTCTCTCGCTATCTCTTGCTCCCGTAGTCACAACGATGCAAAAGAGATTTGAAATCAATCGGAAACAGAATTACTTGATTAAAAAAAACATAAATTTGATTAGGTTTTTAGAATCTCAAAGGGTGAAGATGAAGAAGAAATGTTGTTTTGGATTCAAGGGGAATAATAAATAAAAAGAAGAAAGGAGAGAAATAAAATGCCCATAATTAGGCGAAGTTGAGGGGATTTATAAGATTAGGATGTTAAACCAAGTCGGTGGAACTGGCTCTTTGCTGTTCATCCTTACCCTTTCCTAATTTCTCGGGGTTTTTTTTATAATAAAATCTCCATTGATTTGGTTTGCTAACGGAAATGAAAAAAAATATATTTTAAAATCACCGAATTTACAGGCAATATTTTTGTTATTTACGATTTGTATATAATTTTTCTTCCTTGTATCACTAAATCACATAATAATCAACGTATGCCTCACTAATTGAAACAGGAAACAAGTTCGGAAACTTTTTAAATTAATTTAATCAATTGTTAAAAGAAACATGACTGATAAACAAATTGGACCGTGGATAAATTAAAAAAAAATGTCTAATAATCGTTCGTTAACCTTTTAAAAATATCTTCCAATAAATGTTTTCCGTATTAAAACATGTAACTTATATATTCGTATCCATTTTTTTCATTGTCACATTAAATTTTGCATATTCTAAAATTCAGATTTTTTTGGATACTTAGCTTTAAATTTACATATCCTACCAAGTTCACAACTATACCATATATTGTGACAGTGTGTAAACTGGCAACCTCTGGAGGGTAATGAAGAATTGTGGGTATAATCAAAATTTAGAAAAGCAAAAAGACAAAATGTTGTTGCAAAGGTACACACAACTGAACTAAGTTTGGATTCACTGATCACCGGGGAGTGTCTTGATGATGTCCGAATCACCTGAAACAAAGCACAGTCATATGATAAGTCACCCATAAGCATTATATAGCTTGATCTGAACCGTCAGAGCTCCGCCGACAAAACAGAAGGATATCAATAATGGCGCATTACCCGGGTCGACGATGCTGAGGCAAGATACACGGAAGTACTTCCCGCAAGCTGTACCAAGATCGACGTTATCTGAAACAGATGGAGGGAAGAGTCAGGCAAAGGAGAAGAAAAGGGATGTGCTTGAATTTGATAAGAACAAGATTCCTTGAATTGTAACTTAGGCAATCTCAAGGAATAGCATTGGTCTTTGCACAATATCAAATGGTACCATGAAACTATTACTAGATTATGAAGCACAAACCCTCAAACAGAAGTAATCAATAGCACGATAAGATCAAAGATGGACATCGGTTTCGACGATTCCGGAGTTCTGATGTATAAAGCACAACAGACAACATCAGCAGAAACAAACCGGTTTTTTCAACATCAGAGGAAGCGCTCGTAAAAATTTCAAGTGACTCGAGGTGATTAATACTAAGAACACAGACATAGGAGACTTGATCTAAGGAGCTGAACAACGACAAGAATAAAACACAGGCCGAAATCCATGGAAAAGCTAATTCAAAGATCACACACTCCATAGATGCCAAATTCAACCTCATCGACCAGATTAAACATACCCACAGTTTTTACAGTTTCTTGTATCTGTATCAGTATGGTATATGCAACCTCATCAACACGATAATACGTACTCAATATCTACAGTTTCCTGGCATCTGTGATTAGTACGGTATATGCAAACACTAGAACAAGCAACACATGCATTTCCATTACGAATCCAGAAAACCCATGAAGTAAAAAAAAAACAAGAACAAAGTATATAACAGAGTTATTCCCAAACGTCTTCTAAATCTCTAAGAGATACAGAAATGGCATCGAAAGAGGAAACCTTACTTCCATTGTAGTGATGGACACCAATTTTGGCGAGCATAGCGTAGTACTCAATCTCCGACCTCCGCAATGGTGGACAGTTGTTGGAGATAAGTATCAATTTCCCTATCACATCACGAAATTACCCAATTTTTTTTTAAAACAAAGAAGAGAAAGCATTCGAATTCAAAGATGGTTCGAGAGAAATCACCCTTTGAGCAGCGGAGAGTTTTGAGGACAGACTTGTACCCGAGAGTGTACTTGCCACTCTTCATTACAAGAGCCAATCTGCTGTTAATTCCCTCATGGGACTTCTTCTGCAATTACCCACAAAAAAAGAAGGAGAAATCTTTCGGTGAGTAATCGGAGATGGAAGAAACCCCAAAAGATGAAAAGGGGAAAACTTTGAATTTGGGCATGGAGAAGTACCGTCTTCTTGGCCGCCACCATTGTAGCCGGAGATGAAGCAGAGGCCAACGAAATGCGAAGAAGAAGAAGAAACACCCAAAGAGGCAGAGCGCCGCCGGCTGGGTCCTCGAGCTTTTATATACAGAGACGTCTGTATCGTTTTAGGGTTTCTGCTTTATGATGAATATTCACTTTTCCTGAATTTCCAGTTCTACCCATCCTCTGTATTCATAGTTTTACATATTTATTATTTTCGATGAAAATCTAAAAATACACAAAACAAAATCGAATATAGATTACAATAAAAATATTGAACTAAAAATCTTTTCATATTAATAAAGAGGCATAATTAGATAAATATGTTATGTTCGGTTCCTTTTTTATGAAAAATATTGTATATTCGGTAGGACGTTGACGTTAAGGATTAGGGGTGAACGTTTCGGTTCGGTTTTTTGGAATCGAATTGAAAAATACGATATTTTTTTATTTGTACCGTTCTAAATTCTCGAACTTATTTTTGAAAACTGAATTTTTGGAATTGAACCGAACCTAATTTTAAAAAATTCTGAAAAACTAATTTTTTTAAAAAAAATCTATCTTTTTAAATAAATAATGGAATCGAATCAAATCGAAATTGAAACTGAACTAAATATAATATAAAACTAGATTGGTATCTATATTTTGTAAGACGGCAATATAGCAAAAATACCCCCACTTTATTACAAAGACTTCATAACATACCTTTCAAAACCCTAAAATTTTGAAAACAAAATAATAAAAATAAAAGACATAATTAACCTTTCAAAAAAGTAATATGATACACTTTTCCCATTTACTTAGTCATTTTGAATTCATCTCTCTCGTTCTCACACTTTCATAACTCTCAATTTCTTTCTTAACTTTCTCTCTCTACTGTTATCTTTCTCTCAACTCTTCCATTTTCCTCTTTCTCATTTCATTTTTACACAGAAAAACAAATGAAAAATGATTATTTCGTTGAACATATCTTCACCGCCGACCTTATGTACCAAGCGGTTTAAGCCGAATGACTTAAATCCGACCTATCTCTGGCATTGTCGACTTGGTCACATCAACGAGAAACGCATAGCGAAGCTTCATTCAGATGGACTTCTTGATTCTTTTGATTATGAGGGCCCGACTGGTTGTACCGCAGCGGTTACGGTTGCGGGTGGTGGCGTTTTAAAAAAGTTTGGTAGCGGTTATGAGCGGTTTGTACTGACTGGTTGGTAAGTAACTGTTGGTGGCGATTGCGGTTGATTGCGATTAGAAGTGAATGGTTGTAAGCGGTTGCGGTTACGTTTTATTGTAAATTACCAAAAAGGACATAATTATAAGATAATTTTTTAAATTAATTATAATTAGTTTTTATATTATCATTTTAAAAAATATTTTATATAATTTATAAAAAATATAAAATTATTTTAAAATATAAATTTTATCGATTTAATTTATATTTATTATAAAATCTTAAAAATAATTATTGATAAATCTAAATTTTATAAAATCATGTGATGCTATTATATTTTTTTAACATAAATCATAAAATAAAAAATTAAACTTAAATTATGATAATAAACAAAATCATCAACAAAATAATATATTAGATAACTAAAATGAAAAGAATACATAATTAAGAACAATATTAGCTTGTCGCATCCCATATCTCTTTAGCGATCTCATCTCTCACATTTGCCATATATTCATCCCCGGTCGCATCATAGAATCGATCATCATCCATATCATAACGTGATGGAGACGTATTTCCAGTGGATTCGGGAATATAATCTTCTGTAGTTTCCGCAATATTGAAATCCATATCTTCCTCTCGACAATCTCGAATGAAATTATGGAGTGTCATGGTAGCGGCAACAATCTTTTCTTGTATCTTTATGCTATAACGAGGGGGTCCTTTCAAGATTGTCCATTTGCCTTTCCAAACTCCAAATGTTCTCTCTACTACCGAACGCAATGAAGAATGTCTCTTGTTAAATAACTCATGCATAGTTCTTGGTCGACGTCCAGAAAACTGATTAGGATGATACGGTTGACCTTGATAAGGAGCAAGAAAACCCTTCCGATTAGGATAACCAGAGTCCACGAGAAAATATTGTCCTGAGTCCGGAAATGGAAAAAATTCATCGTGTCTTGCACACTCTGTTAATATCTTTGTGTCGTGTGCACGGCCCGGGACTCCAATACGTGTGTATATAAATCTCATTTTAAAGTCACATACCGCCAAGATGTTCATCGATGTGTACTCTTTACGGTTCCAATATGTAATCTTGTCTTTACCACTAGCAAGCACTGGCACATGAGTTCCATCCAATGCTCCAATACAATCCTTAAAGTACGGAAAATATCTCCTATCGTGTCGAACCGTTGAAGGTAACTCAACAAAGTCTTCTCTCTTCCACGAAACATTCTCTGCATGCAAGCGACATAATGCCGTAAGAACTTCATCAAACTTACTTGTTACTGTCCATTGCGAAACTTGAAAATCTCCTGCTATCACTCTTTGTGATATATTATGCCCCAATATCTTTAATGACATGCCCAAAGCCACCTCGGCACTCACACGATGGCATTCTTGGAGTCCATACTCCTTTAACTTGCTTAAAAGTCGATGAAACACCGACTTTTTCATTCGTAGAAAATGAAGGCATTGGATATCACTCCCATACATTAATTGATGCATTATCCGCAATCCTCGTTCTGGGTCAGTTCTGATTTTTTCCTTTAAACAATACCTCAAAGGATGCGTACCAACTAATGTAGTAACCACATCATCATCTTCTGTAATAGTTTCGACAATTGCCTGCAATAACACTAGAAAATTTATCAATCCTTGAAACATTTTCATTCATGAGAATAATATATAAGTTCTGACAAAAGTAAATATCCATATGTACTTTTGTCAGAACTTATATATTATTCTCATGAATGAAAATGTTTCAAGGATTGATAAATTTTCTAGTGTTATTGCAGGCAATTGTCGAAACTATTACAGAAGATGATGATGTGGTTACTACATTAGTTGGTACGCATCCTTTGAGGTATTGTTTAAAGGAAAAAAATCAGAACTGACCCAGAACGAGGATTGCGGATAATGCATCAATTAATGTATGGGAGTGATATCCAATGCCTTCATTTTCTACGAATGAAAAAGTCGGTGTTTCATCGACTTTTAAGCAAGTTAAAGGAGTATGGACTCCAAGAATGCCATCGTGTGAGTGCCGAGGTGGCTTTGGGCATGTCATTAAAGATATTGGGGCATAATATATCACAAAGAGTGATAGCAGGAGATTTTCAAGTTTCGCAATGGACAGTAACAAGTAAGTTTGATGAAGTTCTTACGGCATTATGTCGCTTGCATGCAGAGAATGTTTCGTGGAAGAGAGAAGACTTTGTTGAGTTACCTTCAACGGTTCGACACGATAGGAGATATTTTCCGTACTTTAAGGATTGTATTGGAGCATTGGATGGAACTCATGTGCCAGTGCTTGCTAGTGGTAAAGACAAGATTACATATTGGAACCGTAAAGAGTACACATCGATGAACATCTTGGCGGTATGTGACTTTAAAATGAGATTTATATACACACGTATTGGAGTCCCGGGCCGTGCACACGACACAAAGATATTAACAGAGTGTGCAAGACACGATGAATTTTTTCCATTTCCGGACTCAGGACAATATTTTCTCGTGGACTCTGGTTATCCTAATCGGAAGGGTTTTCTTGCTCCTTATCAAGGTCAACCGTATCATCCTAATCAGTTTTCTGGACGTCGACCAAGAACTATGCATGAGTTATTTAACAAGAGACATTCTTCATTGCGTTCGGTAGTAGAGAGAACATTTGGAGTTTGGAAAGGCAAATGGACAATCTTGAAAGGACCCCCTCGTTATAGCATAAAGATACAAGAAAAGATTGTTGCCGCTACCATGACACTCCATAATTTCATTCGAGATTGTCGAGAGGAAGATATGGATTTCAATATTGCGGAAACTACAGAAGATTATATTCCCGAATCCACTGGAAATACGTCTCCATCACGTTATGATATGGATGATGATCGATTCTATGATGCGACCGGGGATGAATATATGGCAAATGTGAGAGATGAGATCGCTAAAGAGATATGGGATGCGACAAGCTAATATTGTTCTTAATTATGTATTCTTTTCATTTTAGTTATCTAATATATTATTTTGTTGATGATTTTGTTTATTATCATAATTTAAGTTTAATTTTTTATTTTATGATTTATGTTAAAAAAATATAATAGCATCACATGATTTTATAAAATTTAGATTTATCAATAATTATTTTTAAGATTTTATAATAAATATAAATTAAATCGATAAAATTTATATTTTAAAATAATTTTATATTTTTTATAAATTATATAAAATATTTTTTAAAATGATAATATAAAAACTAATTATAATTAATTTAAAAAATTATCTTATAATTATGTCCTTTTTGGTAATTTACAATAAAACGTAACCGCAACCGCTTACAACCATTCACTTCTAATCGCAATCAACCGCAATCGCCACCAACAGTTACTTACCAACCAGTCAGTACAAACCGCTCATAACCGCTACCAAACTTTTTTAAAACGCCACCACCCGCAACCGTAACCGCTGCGGTACAACCAGTCGGGCCCTATATCTTTTTCTTCGTGTGTCGGTTTAAGCCAGAACAAATGACAAAACTGAAGGTAAGTTTATTAATACAAGAGATTGGTTCGATACATAAACTTTGTGTTTTGAGTTTGAGTTTTATGATTTTTAAAGTGAATCGTGTAGTTTTTGATGAAAATGAGATAGATGCATAACAAATCTGTCGAAAAATATGCAAGAGGTGCATAATGGAATGGATTGACAACAAAAACAAAGGTACGTCACATTGGTTACACCGTTTAAAATTTAATTTTGGTCGCACTGGTCATACAGGTCACATTGGTCATATTAGTCCCACTGGTCACACTGGTCACAGTGGTCATACTAGTCCCACTGGTCACACTAGTCACATTGGTCACACCGAAAATTTTTAAAATTCATGCGAAAAAAATTATATTTTTATGATAGAGGGAATTTTAAAAATTTTAAAATATTTAAATTTT